CTATCCAAAATGTACTGCACAGTTTATGAACTTCAGAGCATAATTTCCAAAATTATTTGCACTGCACATAAGCTTAGTTTAGAAAACAGTTTGTATGCTACACATTAACATGATGAACTATTACTCACCCGTGACAATGGTGATGGAGTGAATTTATCACGATGAATGGAAGGAATCCATTTCTCTTTCAGAAGAGCATCAGATGGAAACTTGAAAATATTAACCCTGTTATCCTCATTATAATTCCCTTTGCAACCAGGCACACAACAGCGAAAAGGCATATTTAATCCAGAATTGAAGGACAGAAACTGTTGGGATTCTTATTTAAAGTTTGCTAGCAGAGTATTAAAGAGGCAGAGTCCATGGTGTGTTCAAAATATAAAATATAAAAGTTTACTGCAACCTAGCATTGGAAAAGGTGCACAGGATATAACAAAGAGCAAAAATCTCTACATCCTCACAGCAAAACTGGAATGGCAGAATGGTTGGCTTCTCGGTCAGAACAAAGAAACAAAGAGACAGGAAGAGGGGCCATAAAAATGCAAACCAATGCTCTCACACAAACAGGCAACACTAGTCTTTTATTGAAGTCTTTATCCAACACTACATCGACTGAATTCAAACTGCCAAATTCTCCTCATACTCTGCTATATTCAACAAAACATTCCTCACAGTCTTAACTCCAAACTCTCTAACTCTGCAAAATTCAACAACACATTTAAAGGGACACAACCAATTAACTGAAATCATTACACAAAACAGCAGCCCTCTGCTTAGCCCCACATACGCACAGGGGGATTGTTATGACTACTCTCGTAGCCATGGCAGTGATGTCACGACTTGGTGGTCAGGCCTTCCATATAGGGGGTGGTGGCAGGGGGCGGGGCTTGTTGCCTGTGCCCACCCCCTGGGCTCCTTACTGCTGGAGCTCCGCTCCTGTGCGCTCCTGCAGGACATGACCCCTGGGGCTGCCGACCGCCAGGTGCTAGCCGGAGACCTCCTGGGATCACAACTGATCTCCAGGCTGTACAGGTCAGTTCCCCTGGAGATAATGGCCGCTTTGGAAGGTGGAATCTATGCCATTATGCCCCATGGAGTCCCTCCTTCCACAAACCCTGCCTTCCCCCGGCTTCCCTTCTAAATCTCCAGGCATTTCCCAATCCGGAGATGGCAACCCTTTGCCAACAGGTGCTGGTTTCTTAAGGTAGAGATCTGTGCTACAGACTTCAATCAGTTTTGTCCTGGTCTAAGAGTCCCCAAGAGAAACCTGGGAACTGTAGTCTGGTGAACCGTTTGCTGACCATTTGCTGCTGACCATTTGCTATCCAGAGCCTCTCTTATGGAACCACAACTCCCAGAATCCCTTGGGGATGCCACTGAAACCGACTTTAAGTCTGAGAACCAAGTCTGAGTCCAGTGGCACTTTAAGATGAATAAAGTTTAATTCTGGGTATACGCTTTCATGTGCATGCACACGTCTTCAGATACATTGAAACAGACTTCGCCAACAATTACATATAGGTAAATGGGAGGGGGGGTTAGTTGTCAGGTAGAGCTAATCAGAGTCCAGATACATAAGTAACTGAGCGATGTATATCTAAGATTGGATTAAAGCAGCTGATAAACCCTGTGAATAGCAGCAAATTAGCATACAGATAATGAAAGAGTTAACAAACAGATGCGAGAACTGACTGACTTAGCATGTGTAGTGAGATAAGAACCCGATATCTCTGTTAAGCCCTGGGGGTTCCATTGTCCTGAGTGCTGGAGGTCTGTAGTGCTGATCTGCACGAGAAGCATGAACCTCATGATCCTTTATCCTGGGCGACTTCAACTCAGAGGAGCAGGTGAAATGCCATGACCGAATGTTTTTGGATAGGTGGGGAGGCTCCCCTGCACACAGAAAACTAGCAGTTCAGGAGAAAAGTGAGCTTTGATGCCTTCTGCACGATTAATTTCTTCTTTGTTTCCACAGGCGGTCTGTCCATGGCTCCACCCCAAGCTGATCCCACTTACGCCTCTCCTGGAGCCACCCGGGATGACAGAGTAGGCCCCGGATACTCAGCTCCCGCGGCCAGAGAGGAGCGGCCGATGAGGCAGGTGACTCCGTACAGCCAAGCCGCCATGCCGCCTGCTGCCCCAGCACCTTCCCGACAGCCTCCTCAAGAGGAGGAGGAAGATGAGGCCAACAGCTATGACTCCGATGAAGCAAGTAGGTAGTCTCAAGTCATGCTGGCAAAGGCAGCTCTCGTTCTGCCACCTTTTGATCCTTGGGCTGCCTGGGAAGACAAAAAAAAATTGGCTTGCTATTGGAGACAACAAATGTGCAGCATGTGGAATCCAAACCCCTCGACGACTGCATGCCTGGCTCAGCTTTTGCAGGCTGAAATTGCAACCGGTGTCGTCCACGGGTTTTCGGATTTATTTATGCCACCAGCTCAGAGGTTAAGACACTGACTGCAGACCGGAAGGTCTGTGGTAGCAGTTCGAGACCCGAGTGCTGTATGACTGAGTGAGCTTCCATCTCTAACCCAGCAATTCGAAAGCAAGAAATTGCAAGTAGATAAATAGGTACAGCTTCAGTGGGAAGGTAACAGCATTCCATGCTCCTCGGCGTCTAGTCATGCTGGCCACATGACCACAGAGAAGTCTTCGGACAGCGCTGGCTCTTCGGCTTGGAAACCGAGATGAGAACCGCCCCCTAGGGTCGGATTCGACTGGATTTCGAGCAAGGGAAACCTTTAAGGACTAGGCTGGGGGGTCCCCAACCTTTTTGAGTTAGTGGGTACCTGTGGAATCCTGACACAGCGCAGTGGGTAGAGCCGCTAAATGGCTGCCACTGGAGGCAGAGCAAGCCCCAAAATGATTGCGCCAGCTTACCTTCAGTCGCAGAGTGATGATCGTTGTGCTGTGGTGGCAGCTGCCGCCAAAGCCAACGTTTTCCAAAAGCTGTACAGGTGATCGACTCTTGTGGGGGTGAAAGCTCCATCAGCCCCACCCACTTTCTAAATACACTTGGCGGGGGCAAGGAAAGGTGTCAGTGGGTGCCTTACGTTGGGGACCCCGGAGCAGTGTTCCCTCTAAGCTGAGTTAAGTGTGAGCTAGCTCACAGTGTTTTAGCCTCCAGTTCAGATTTTTGTCTTAGCTCAGGAAGGGATGGCTCCAGAGCAAACTAATGTATGCAGTCGCCAAATCGCTCGCTCACCACTTTAATGCCAGGAGCTCGCAAAGTAGAATTTTTGCTCACAAGGCTCCACAGCTTAGAGGGAGCATTGCCCTGGAGTAGAATTTTCCTTTTTGGAAACCAAAAAACGGAAAGTGAGGTTTTTATAATGCTACAGTCTATGCCAGTATCTGAATTCCTTCCCTGTGCAAAGGCAGTAGGCTAAACCAACCCAAGTCTTGACTCCCTTCGTCTTTCGGACAGTTCCCACCTGCCTTCAGATTCTATTATCCTTCTGAAATGGTTTAGCTTTCACTTGCAACGCAGTCATTTTCTAATGAGCTCGTGTCCCGGAGTCCTCGGAGGTCCACGACTTCTTCCTGGGGACCCGCTAAGTGCTTTTAATGGCTGGTAAATAAGTAATTGGGAGAGGAAATGAATTTCGTGAGCCCGTTCCTCTGTTTCTCGTGGAAAAATAACGAGCTGCCACCCCAGCCGAAAACACCACGCTGGAGGACCTGCATTATTCATGGCAGATGAGAGAGCCCGGAGGCACCTTTGTACGGCCTGACTTCTGCACACTTGGAGAGGGGAAATTGGAACCCGAAATCAGAAGTGGCACCTTCCAGGCCTCTCTTGCATCAAGAGGACAAACGCAGCCTGCTGACCAGTGTTCCCTCTAAGCTGAGTTAGCATGAGCTAGCTCACAGTTTTTTAGCCTCCAGCTCACACATTTTTTGTCTTAGCTCAGGAAGGATGGCTCCAGAGCAAACTAATTTATGCAGCAGCCAAACTGTTCGCTCACAGCTTTAATGCCAGGAGCTCACGAAGTAGAATTTTTGCTCACAAGACTCTGCAGCTTAGAGGGAGCAATTGCTGCCGACCTCTAGGTGGAGTCCGCAGATCTCACAGAATTATAGTGGCTCTCCAGACAACATAAATCACATCCCTATTGTTATTTTTTTTGGTCTGCCTTTCTGTCTATCTATCTATCGACTGCCTGCCTGCCTGCCTACCTGCCTATCTATCATCTGTCTGTCTGTGGCTGCGGTCACACTGGCGGCTTGTTGCGATATGGTGCCGCCTTGAATTGAACCGGTCTAAAGTGTCGCAGGGCATATGAGCCACACAGCACACCCTGCTGCGGGTTACCCATGGAGACATCCCATGGGAAAGCATCTGCATGATTGCAGCAGCTCAGCCACAGAGCGTGCTGCAAAAACATCAAAAACCATGCGTGTGCATAAGTGTGCTCATGCGTGCGCGCACACACATACACATGTAGGCAATTTTTTTTAAAAAAAAATCCTCCCTAGCGGCAGAATGGATCAGCAGGTTCAGATGGCTAAATCCGTTCTGCGTGTGCTCCCCTGTGTTCAGACACCCGGCCACGCGCAATGACAGCACGGGGAACCAAAAACACCACTTGTGAGGTGGTGCCTTTTTAACCCGGCTCCAAGTCGTCCTATGATGGGATATGCCTGACACTCGCTATTATTATTAGTAGCCTGGAGAGAGGACTGAGAGGTGATACGAGAACCATCTTCAAGTACTTGAAGGGCTGTCGAATGGAGGATGGTGCGGAGTTGTCTTCTGTTGCCCCAGAAAGTCGGACCAGAACCAACGGGTTGAAATTAAACCAGAAGAGTTTTCGGCCAAACATGAGGAAGGACTTCCTGACAGTTCGAGCGGTTCCTCAGTGGAACAGGCTTCCTCGGGAGGTGGCGGGCTCTCCTTCTTTGGAGGTTTTCAAACAGAGGCCGGATGGCCATCTGACAGCCATGTGGATTCTGTGAACTGAGGCAGATCACGAGAGGGAGGGCAGGAAGGGTTGCCTCAGGGCTTAGTTCTCGTGGCCCTTTCTTACACGCCCAGGGAAATGCTGATCGCCACTTTAGGGTCAGGAAGCAATCCTGGAGGTTTTTTGTCATCTTCTGGGTGTGGAACAGGGGTCACTGCGGGTGTGGAGGAAGAGGTATTTGTGATTGTTCCTGCCTTGTGCAGGGGGTAGGACTAGATGACCCTGGAGGTCCCTTCCAACTCCATGATTCCATGGTTCTGTGATTTTATGATTATTAGTAGTATTAGAGCTGCCATGTTGTGTTAATTAATTGGTTAGATTCATTGTTGAAAAAGCATTTTCCATGATTAAAGAGTGACTCTCCCTTCAGTTGATCAGGCAGTTGCATTTTTGTAAGTTAACTTCAATACCAAGTGCTGATCAAAACAGCAGACTGCTCGTGCCATCTTGCAAGCTTGCAAATATGTGTGCTTGTTGTGTGTTTGTGAGAGACAATCTGCTTCCTTTATTTATGGAAAGGCTGCAAAGAGGCTATTCAGAGGAAGTATTGCTTTTCCTTTAGAGCGATTGTTCTTTCTTATATGCAGGTTTAATTGATAGCAAATCTTCATAGCTTTTTTTTTTTTAAATCTCCATTTAATTGAGAAATGCCCAAGGCTTCAAAACCGTAATATCATTTTAAAAATCACACACAAATGAAAGAGATATGATATTCAAATAAGAGCAGTAAGTAGTAGAGTTTCCTATTCAAACAATAGCAGATAATTTGTTTAAAAAGCATTGTGGATCCGAGAAGCGAAGCAGAGAATTAAAAAATAATAAAGTCGGCCACGGGAAAGATAATAAAAGAGCGGCGGAGTAAATAGAGGGAATGCCGGGAGGAAGCTTCCAATTAGGAAGGCAGTGGCAAACCACCTCTGTTCATCTCTTGCCTTGAAAACCCCTTGAGGGGTCACCAGAAGCCAGATGTGAATTGGCGGCACTTAATTACAATTAGTTATTGATTGAAAAGGTCTGTGACCCTCCCTGTCCAGTCAAGGTCTCCAAGGTGCCCTACAGACAGACATTAAAACAGTGTGATCTGAGGGCTCAGGAAAGAAACACGGCAAAAAAAATCAGAACAGTATTTCCCCCCATGGATTGTTTTTCCCCCAAATTTTTCCAGCATAAGAACTGAAAAATTTGGGGAACGTTGGAACAATTCCCATGAAATATTTTCCATATAAAATGCACGAAACGCTTTTTGGTGCAGTGGTTAAGTGCGTGGACTCTAATCTGGGAGAACTGGGTTTGATTCACTACACTCTTGCAGCTGCTGGATGACCTTGGGTCAGTCACAAGTTCTCTCAGAGCTGTTCTTTCACCAGCAGTCCTTGAAAGAGCTCTCTCAGCCCCCCCCCCAACATCACAGGGTGTCTGTTGTGGGGAGGGGAAGGGGAAGGGGAAGGGGAAGGAGAATGTAAGCCGCTCTGAGACTCCGATTGAAGGGCGGGGTATAAATCCAATCTCCTCCTCCTTCTTGAGACAAGGTTTTACTCAGAATATGTAGTATGAAGAGAGGAAGCCTGGGTGTCCCAGATCTTAGTCTGATGCTCAAACTGCAACATCACAAGGGCTTTCAAGTAGATCGTCTTCAAATGTGACTAATTGTGTTCGTAATTAATATGCTCTTATCTGTCTGATGATGACATGCTATTGAAGAATCTGATGTTAGGAAGTTTCGCTTAAGAGCCGGATGTGCTGCCGGTTCCTTCTATGCCCATGTGAGATGGTTTCTCTCCAAAGGATGCACTTCTTTTTGATGGCCAAATGTGGGCACACGGTACACAGGTGTGGCGTGTGCTCTTTAACTTTTATTTTCCCTTACGTCTCAGATGCACTAAGGTACTCGGAGGGCTGTCTTCGCAAATTTGCTTGAAGAAAACTTAAGCCAAATAGTGTAATGTTTTAACTTAGTTGTAAATGATGCGTTTTACATCCTTACAACAGTAAAATAAATTTAGGGTTGGTAACAAAGTATGAATTCCTTATATTTCAGTTTTCCCTGAATGTATGAAAAAAAATCCCTCTGTTTTTGTCTCCTTGGCTTTAGTATTTCTAAGAACTGCTTAAGGGTACAATGCAAAACAAGGCAGGGTAATATGATCTATGATTTTTTACTCAACAGCTTTCTCGGAATAAATAACTAAGTCATGATAAAGTCATCAATTTTCCTGCCCCTTCTGTTTCCCAGCCCTTTCGGCATCTTTATCCCCTTCTTCCCTCCCCCCACCACAAGCCGGTTTGGTGTCGTGGTTAAGTGCGCAGACTCTAATCTAGGAGAACCGGGTTTGATTCCCCACTCCGCCACTTGCAGCTGCTGGAGGACCTTGGACAAGCCATAGTCCTGATAAGAGCTGTCCTTGAAAAAAGAGCAGTTCCTGTCAGAGCTCTCTCAGCCCCACCCACCTCACAGGGTGTCTGTTGTGGGGAGGGGAAGGGAAAGGAGTTTGTAAGCCGCTCTGAGACTCCTTTGGGTAGCGAAGGGCGGGGTATAAATCCAATCTCCTCTTCTTCAAGAGAGCCAGTTTGGTGTAGTGGTTAAGTGCGCGGACTCTAATCTGGGAGAACCGGGTTTGATTCCCCACTCCTCGCACCTGGCTGGATGACCTTGGGCAAGGCATAGTTCTCTCAGAGCTGTTCTTGAAAAAGAGCAGTTTCTGTCAGAGCTCTCTCAGCCCCACCTACCTCACAGGGTGTCTGTTGTGGGGAGGGGAAGGGAAAGGAGTTTGTAAGCCACTCTGAGACTCCGAGTGAAGGGTGGGATATAAATACAATCTCCTCCTCCTCCTCCTCCTCCTGTCTCTAGGCCTGTCTTTCTGTGGGTCCCTCAGCAAACTTGTGTGTTGCTTTCAGATAGGGTTGCCAACCTCCAGGTAATGGCAGGAGATCTCCTGGGATTACAAATGGTCTCCAGGTGACAGAGCTAAGTTCGGCTGGAGGGAATGGCCGCTTTGTAAGGTGGACTCTCCGGCGCTGTACCCCACTGAAGTCCCTGCCCTCCTCAAGCACCATCCCCCAAAACCTCCAGATTTTCCCCAACCTGGAGCTGGCAACCCTACTTTGAGACCTACCCCCCCCCCCCCCCCCCCCCGCAAAGAAATGTCCAGGGGAAATGACAATGCGAGATTGCTGAACCCAAGTTCGTTCACACATTCAGAGCAATGGGCTGCCCTGGACTGAATAGGGAGATAGGGTTCTTATCTCACTAAAGATGCTAATTTCCTACCACCCCCACCCCCATTTCCCCTCTGCTCCAGTCAAGCCGACTGCAATGTGCCTAGTCCCTCTTCATCCTTTACAAGCATTCTTTACAACACCCCTCCTACCTTCTGACTGGGATGAAAGGGAGCTTTGACACTGGACAGCTCATGCCCCCAAACCCTTATTGGTCTCCAAGGTGCTCTTAAACTCGAATCTTACTGTTCTCGCCTGCCCTAAAAGCCTGCCCTAAAAGCACTGCACTGGCTGCCAATAGCATACCGGATTCAGTTCAAGGTGCTGGCTCTTACCTTTAAAGCCCTATATGTTCAGGGACCTACTTACCTAAGGGACCGCCTTTCCCCATATGCCCCCCAGAGAGCACTAAGATCGGGGTCCCAAAACCGCCCGGCCCTCCCAGGCCCTAAAGAAGCCAGGCTGGCTGCGACGAGGGCCAGGGCCTTCTCTGTGGCGGCTCCTTGCTGGTGGAATGAGCTCCCGGATGACATCAGGGCCCTGCGGGACCTTCTGCAGTTCCGCAGGGCCTGTAAGACGGAGCTCTTCCACCAGACCTTCGAGTAGGGTGCTGCCCAACACCAACACCAGCACCCACTTAAGAGCCAACAGCCTGGCAAGAACCCGGATTATGGTGGTGGTGACCATCTGGATGTGAGAGAATGCCGCCATCTTTTATTGATAAAGGTAAAGGTAAAGGTTCCCTTGCTCGAAAGCCAGTCGAGTCCGACTCTAGGGTTGCGGTGCTCATCTCCGTTTCAAAGCCGAAGAGCCAGCGCTGTCCAAAGACGTTTCCGTGGTCATGTGGCCGGCATGACTAAACACCAAGGCCCACGGAACGCTGTTACCTTCCCACCGAAGTGGTACCTCTTTATCTACTTGCAATTTCTTGCTTCCGAACTGCTAGGTTGGCAGGAGCTGGAACTAGAGACGGGAGCTCACTCCGTCATGTGGCACACTCGGGTCTCGAACTGCTGAACGACCGACCTTCCACAGCCTGCAGTTCAGCGTCTTAACCACTTGAGCCACCGCAGCTCCATCTTTTATTGATACTTAACGTTTAATAATATTAAAATGGTTTTATATGGTGTGGTTTTAATTTAGTTCCTGTGTTTTCATATGTCTTGTTGACTCAATATAAATATATATGTTGCAAGGCACCCTGAGCCTTCTGTGGCAGGGGAGAGTGAGATATAAATTAAACAAACAGATACTGCAGCTCAGCATGGCCATCCTCTAAAAATATATATATATATATCTCTTCTCTCTTCTTTCTTCTCTCTCTCTCTCTCTTCTCCTCTCTCTCTTCTCTCTCTTCTCTCTTCTCTCTTTCTCTCTTCTCTCTCTCTTCTCTCTCTTCTCTCTTCTCTCTCTCTCTTCTCTCTCGGCAGCCACTTTGGGAGCTTTGGAATTCAGCCTCTTGTACAACCCTGAGAACAGCTCTTTGCACTGCGCCATCATCAAGGCGAAAGTAAGTTGGGCCCTTCCGGGTGCAGCCAGCAGCTCCTGGAATTGGAGATCTGCATTGGGATTCCGCACTCCCCCGCATGAAGCCAGCTGGGTGACCTTGGGTCAGTCACAGCTCTCTCGGAGCCCTGTCAGCCCCCCAAATAAGTCTCGCTCACCACCTAGTGGCGCATATTGCTAAAAGAGCTAGAACTTCAGGCTGCCAGACAATCTTAGGGTCTCCCGCCTATACTACACGTCAGTGGGCACCACATTGGGCTCCCCTGTTTTAGGAGCCCTCTTCGGTTGAACAGGCTTGGCCAGTGCCCCTGGGAATCCAGTGCGCCCCCCCCCCCATAGAGTCCTCCCCAGAATCCTTTGCAACATGCAAACATTTCCAGGGCTTCTCAGTACAGGTGTCCATGTAGAAAAGGGTTTCTTGAGACCGCTGTATTTTGAAAGGTACTGCTGTGAAACCATCTTCCAGGGTTTTTTAAAAAAATCAATTTTCTGAAGGTGTCCACCTGAGTCAACCATTGCCAGGCTGGTTAAATTTTGCCTCTCCTGCCCTCTTCTCTGAGGAATGACTGATGTCTTCCGATTTTATTCCTGCCTAGGGACTGAAGCCGATGGACTCCAACGGGCTGGCTGATCCGTACGTCAAGCTGCATCTGTTGCCAGGAGCCAGCAAGGTAACGGGTGATTTGGTGTCATCGGCTGTGCCGACGTCCTCTTGGCCTTTCCAGTATTGATAAGGAGGGGGGCAGTTTTGCACAAGGTGTTGGGTCTTTTGGAGCCACCCAGGTGCTCTGTTCAAATCAAGGTTGCCATCAGGAGCCTGGAGAACCCCTGGAGAACTCATAGATAGGAAATCTGGGGCAAGAGATGCTCTGTGTTCTTGGTGCTTGGAGGGGGGGCAACAGTGGGAGGGCTTCTATTGTCCTGGCCCCACTGCTGGACCTCCTGATGGCCCCTGATATTTTTGGCCACTGTGTGGCAGAGTGTTGGACTGGATGGGCCATGGGCTCGATCCAGCATTGGCTTCTCTTATGTTCTTATGGACCTAACAGCATCAACTATACCATCTCAGGCTTATTCACATGCTCATCTTCTAAGATTGTATATGCCAACAGTGCCATTTGGTTCTCTGCATAAGGCAAACAAGTCAAACGCCAAAGGATGAATGGACACAAATCTGACATCAGGAATCACAGGACTGAGAAACTTGTAGGCGAACACTTCAGCCTCCCAGGACATTCGATGGGTGACCTCAGAGTAGCTGTTTTATTGCAAGGGAACTTCAGGAATAGACTGGAAAGGGAAATTGCTGAGCTGTAAGTTATTACAGCACTCAGAACAATGGAATCCTCAGGACTTAACAGGGATATTGGTTTCTTATCTCACTAAGTATACTAACCTCATTCAGCCCTTACGTCCGTATTCTCACCAATCCCCCAGAAGGGCCATACGTCCTCTTTATTTTATTTCTTATTTGGAATAATAGATTAGAATGTTGTTGTTGTTCAGTCGCACAGTCGAGTCCGACTCTTTGCGACCCCATGGACCACACCACGCCAGGCCCTCCTGTCTTCCGTCGTGCTCCAGAGTTTTCTTAATTTCATGTCTGTTGCATCAATAACACTGTCTAACCATCTCATCTAGGGGGCGGGCACATGCAACAAGCCCCACCCCCTGCTCCTTCTCTTCCTTCTTTCCTTCTATTTCTTTCCTTTTTCTTTCTTTTCCTCCTTTTTTCCTTCTTTCTTTCCCGCCTTCTTTCCTTCTCTCCTTCTTTCCCTCTTTCCCTCCTTATTTCCTTCTCTCTCTCTCTCTCTCTCCCTCTCTCTCTGCACAGATCTGTGTGAGGGCAGATCTGTGTATCCCCCCCATAGCTAGCAATCCAAAACAGTCCAGAGGCACCTTCAAGACCAAGTTTTATTCAGGTACAAGCTCTCCCTCCTCTGTGAGGACAGATCTGCACATCCTCCCCCCAATAGCTAGCAATCCAGAACAGTCCAGTGGAGCCTGAGCGGTGGGCGTTGCCTTCGGACACACTTCCGGTGATGTCAGGGTGTGTGGCATATGCAAATAAGTTATGCTAATGAGCTCCTGCACCTCTTTATAAGAACATAAGAGACGCCAGTGCTGGATCAGGCCAAAGGCCCATCCAGCCCAACACTGTATCACACAGTGGCCAGAAATACCAGTGCCATCAGGAGGTCCACCAGTGGGGCCAGGACATTAGAAGCCCTCCCACTGTTGACCCCTCCAAGCACCAAGATGTCCGACTCGACTGTGAGACTGAACAACAACATCTATATATCTAATTCCCAACTTGCCCCCGGAGTGCGGATCGCTAAATTAGCGCTCCGGGGGCAGCTGGGGGGGCGGGGGAGGTTTGTGCACATGTGGGCCAGTCCCCACATGTGCACAAAAATAAAAAAAGTTGAAAAAAATTTCGAGGGGATGTT